CCCCCCAGGGTGGATGGTCACGCCGCAATCCCTTCTCCTCCATTCTCCTCTCGGGATCTTGGGCACACACGCACACGTGCCCGGCGTGAGTTTTAAGCCACCGGGTCCAGGATGCAAACTGCGGTCGACTACATGGGAGTCTAGCGACATAGCCATTACGCTAACTGCTGGTTCCCATAACAGGGTTTTGACAACAGGACCCAATCCCAGCTTCAGCCAGTCCTGTGATCATGGGCAAGCATTTGCCCAGCATGCCGAAGGAGGCCTCTGGACCTGAACTGGAACCCTCCCATGTAGGACCTCCTCAAAAAGCAACCCGTCCTATCACTGCACCACCACTGGGCCCATAGTTGAGCTCTTTTCATTTCTTTATTAAGTTTTGCTGTAGGACACATGTGCTTGCTAGAGAGAGAGATCCCCCAGCCAAGGGGGGATGAGCACACCACAATCCCTTCTCTCAGTCTCCTTGGGATTCTGAGCGTGTGTGACTATGTGTCTGGTGTGAATTTCAAGCCACCAGGTCTGGGACTCAAACTGTGTAGTTGGCCATGTGGGATCCACCCTCTGTCTAATGAGCTCTTAAAATGTGGCTGGAGGGGCCAGCAGGTAGCATGACAGTTAAGGTGCTGGATCCCACATGGCTGACTAAGTGGTTTGAGTCCCAGACCTGGCAGCTTGAAAATCATGCCAGGCACATGTACTTGTGTGCCCAAAATCCTGAGAGGAGACTGGAGGAGAAGGGATTGCAGCCTGTGATCTCCCCAGGGGGGTGATTTCCTTGCTTTTCCTCTCTGTGTCTCTCTCTGATGAGTACAAACACCTTATAGGAAAATTAGAAACTAAAAAAAAAAAAGTGGCTGGTGTCACCCAGGAGGCCTGGTTCAGATGGGAGGTCTTTGCCTGAGAACGAGATGCTTGGTTTTAATTAGTTCTGACTAATGCACACAGCCGCATGTGGCCTGTGGCTACTGTACCAACACCGCGGGACTCGACTGATCTCGCATCTGTGGGCAGGGAAGCGGAGGCCCAGAAAGATGTCAGTGACGTGAGCAAGGTCACAGCAGGACTGGTGGGAGCTCACGGCCATGACTGATGCACATGAGCGGTCAGGAGCACTGGAGAGACACAGACCCTGACCACACACTGGGCAACATGCTGGCTCCTCCGGACCCACCTCTCTGTGCAAGGAGGGGGGCCCGTTCCATATTCTTGCTCTGAAATCCCTTCTGTTCTTTGGGTTGGGAGACGTTCTGATCAGGTTGTCTGGATGCTCCTGCACAGGGCCACCCAGGCTCACTGCGACCTCCGTGTCCCCTCCTGCCCAGGGCCACCCAGGCTCACTGCGACCTCCGAGAGAACCAGGCTTGTATTCTGAGTGGGACATGATGGCCACCTTCCCTATCAGGTGTCTGGTTTGATGTTTTTTTTAAAAAAATATTTATTTATCTATTTGTTATTACTATTTATTTTTTAATTTTACCAGAGAGAGATAGAGAAAGATAAAGGGAAATTGAGAAAGCAAGCTGCCAAGTCTGGGACTTGAACCATGGTCGGCCATACTGGGAGTCCAGTACCTCAACCACCATACCTCCTGCCAGCCCCCAGTTTGATTTTCTTTTTCTTCTCTAGACACTGCTTTGTTGATGACCAAGAGATGAACCAGCAGGTGGAATCCATGAACCTCTTAACTTCAACCTGAGGATGGTGGCAGAAAGATCCCCAAGGTCCTTGTCCCTGAGGCTGCAATTAGTCTATGACCTTGGACAAGTCGTTTGATTTTTCTGAGCCTCAGGTTGCATATGGAGATAAAAAGACCTGTCTTTCAGGTAGTTTGGGGATTAAAAATAACACATGTGAGGGACCAGGGCATAATGGCTGTGTTGCTGAACTCCCATGTAGTCAACCATGGTTCGAGTCCAGGATCCAGTGACTTAAACTCACACTGGGCACGTGTGCGTCCGTGCCCAAGATCCTGAGAGGAGAATGGAGAAGGGATTGCAGCGTGACCATCCCCCCTGGGGGGTGATTTCTTTCTTTCTGTCTCTCTGTCTCTCTGCTGGGGGCATGCGCCCTATAGCAAAAACCTATATGTGAAGTGCTGATTGCATAAGCAGCGGTGGCAGGTCGTGACCACAGTGGTGACGTACACCTTCACGCTCAACACTGGGCTCTGCACTTGAGGAGCAGCGAGCTGGCCAGGATGTGACCCCGGCTGGCTTCCAGGCGCCTGTGGTGAGCGGATCACTGAAGGCTGGTCGCAGCCTGCAGACCGTGCAGAGGAGGACGGCCCGCTGCATGATACTCAGCGCTGGTGGGAACCAGTAGGAGCACGCTGCTGCCCACGCTGCTGACCTCTGTGATTGTACCCTTGTGACCATGAGGCAGACTTTGTGGGTGGGACCGTCTCCGTGTTACGGGGAACCTGGGCTCTCAGCGGGAGCGAGCCACACCCACAGAGGTGGCAGCGGTGGGACTTGAGTCAGGGACATACCGACTGAGGGGTTGCCCTCTTTTCATGCCCCAGAAGGTTTTCAGATGAATCTGGACTTGAGATGTGCCTTAAAGGTTGAGAGGCTTCAGAGTAGGGGAGGACTATTTAAAGTGACACCCACCAGGAGTGGGAGGGGTGAAAGGTTGAGGTGACTACGAGAGCCCTCTGCTGAATAATGCCCAGGAGTTGGCCAAGGCTCTCAGGCAAAACAAATGGGGGTGCTTTTAGGGACTGGAAGCAGCTTGCCCATGCAGGAGCTGACTAAGGATAAAAATAAGGCCGTGGGGCCAGCAGGTGGAGTGGTAGTTAGGGCACTGGACTCCCACATGGCCAACTGAGGTTAGGGCCCCAGACCCAGTGGCTTCAAATTACGCTGAGCACATGTGCATGCTTGCCCCAAATCCTAGAGGAGCATGGGAGAGAAGGGATTGCTGGGTGACCATCCCCCCCGGGAGGCCACCTCTCACTTTCCCTCTCTGTATCTGTCTCTCGAATGAGTGTACACGCCCTATGGCAAAATACAAAAAAGAGAGGCCATGGCCAGGCAGGGTGGTGCCTTGTAAGCCACATCAAGATCTTGGCCGTGTCGCAGGCCGGTGTTTACACAGGCGGTTCCTGGGAGCCTTAGCCCTCTCTGAGGTCGCACCGTGGAGACAGGAGGGCAGAGTGGAGGCAGGGAGGCTGCTGAGGTGAGGACGGACGGATGCAGTAACCAGGCACAGGAGGGTCCTCCTGGTGGGGCAGAACCCTCCTCCAGCCAGGCCCTCTGCTTTCCCCCCAGCCACAACCCCTCCCTTCCCTGCGAGGGCAGAGAGCACACGGGGAGTGTGGGGAAGCCACTCGGCCTGGACCTGTCATTTC